AGATAAACCATTTTCCTCACAGTGTAATTATAAATATTTTCTTAAATCCACACTGTTCTTACGTGTTCTTATTAGTTATGATTATAAAATATTTTAATGCTCATACATGACACTCTGAATGCTGGATCTAATTACCTTCATTTGGTGATGTTCACCCTCTGTCTTGCAGCTCTTTATGGCGTCCTCTTTCCCCGAGACAAAGAGGCAGCCTTTGCCAACTACCGGATGTGGGAGTCTCTCGGTTTCGTGATCGCCTTCGCTTACAGCACGTTCTTATGCCTGGAATACAAACTGTACATCCTGCTGTCTGTTCTGCTGCTGACCGTCATCACTTACCCCATAGTGGAGTTCTACGAACACAAGCATCCCACAGAGCCCATCGAAGAGGCCAATTACCTGAGTCACAAAAAAGCCATTCCAATGGATGACAGCAAGATCATCAATCAGACACAACTGTAGCGACGGAATTGATGTTTGTACTTGTTTTGTTTTTACTTGTCGGCCTGGCCTCCAAGCTGCTAATCAGGTTTCCGAATGTTCAAATGAGATAAATGCCATATTAAGAAAAACACATGATGAGAATGATGTTAAAGGGACAGCAAGAAGGCTGCCCACTTGTGTCAAACTTTCCTGGACACAGACTTTATTTTTTACTTGTGCTGCCTGCAGATTCCTGAGGCCAGCTTTGTAGCACTTGAATGTTTTGTTTTGTGAGCGCTGCTGGAGTTGTAGATCACGTGCTGGGAAAACTGGGACTTCACAGCCTCAGTAAGTAAATGTTGTAGAAAAATCTTGTCCACTCCATTTTATTGCTGATTTTCTTATGTGTAAGGACCGCTGTGTCTGGATGTGTCCTGTTTTTAAGCCGACACATTTTCTCTGATTAAATGTTTCAATATTTCAAGCAGTGTGTCAATGACATGTTTTTGTACATTTGTTAGACACATTAGTGGCGCATTAAAACGTTTTGTCTGAGATGACAATGATAACAACCATAGAAGAAGCAAGAATGGCATCCAATAACACTCACAGTGAGCTGGCTGAAGTGATCAGAGACCGGTGTTATCTCTGGCAGCTCCTCGAGCCTGGAGAGAGTCAAACACAAGAGGCCTGCAGTTAGTCCTGCCTGGTTTCTCAACTGCAACGGTGTGCACAGCTCAGGCTCAGAAAACACATGATGGCATCATTATATATGAACAGTTTCTGGGTTTAGAGAGTAGGACACTCGCAAAAACTGGTATAGGATCAGTGCAATAACCACGGTTACTGTGTAGATGGACAGATGTATAACATTTCATTTCTTTCTTGTGGCAATTAAATATTATAGTAATGTGGGAAAATGAACTGTTTAAACAGGCCAGCAGATGCAGGCGTGTATTTGTATTCGGGGACATTAGGCTCCTCACAAAGTCCCATAATACAGTAACACCCATAGTTAAAAAGCGAGTTACCAACAATCAGAAGAAATCTTCTATAGCTGACATGTCCGTTAAGATTCTCAGTCATCCAGGTCAGGTTATTCTCGTACTTTAAACGTAGCACCTGGACTTGATTGACTTTCTTGAAGACGTTCCACCTCTCATCCAAGAGGCTTCATCAGTTCTGACTGACTAGTTGGGAGATCCAGATACGTATATTCTTTAGGAGCCATTAAAACTTAAAGACAAAAGAATCAGCTGAAAGACAAGAAAAAAAAATCAAATGAGCGATGAGAAAAGACAAAAGATTCACCTATAAGACGAGAAAAGACAAAAGAATTCATCCATCCATTATCT